AAAGTGCGGATATTAATTTAGGCTCAATGTTGTGGTTGTGTTTCAGCAATTAAAAATCTACTCTTGGTCCTCTAATGGGAGCCAGCAGGCACTGAACTAGAGATATCAGCAAACAGAAATATGACTCTGTTAATTGGCTGTCCAACGATGATGGCACAAAAATAATAATTAGTCTTTGTGAGTCCTATATATATATATGTGTGTGTGTGTGTGTGTGTGTGTGTGTGTGTGTTGTGTGTGTGTGTGTGTGTGTGTGTGTGTGTGTGTGTGTGTGTGTGTGTGTGTGTGTGTGTGTGTGTGTGTGTGTGTGTGTGTGTGTGTGTGTGTGTGTGTGTGTGTGTGTGTGTGTGTGTGTGTGTGTGTGTGTGTGTGTGTTGAAATCATTCAGTTTTAGTCCAATGCTGACAGAAAGTATGGAGGATATAATGCGCTATAGTATCAATCATTATGCTCTCTTTGCAACAGAGCAGCTTCAGATGTGGGATATAAGTGGTTGTTTTTAAAGACCACAAATACCTTTAACTTGTTAATTAGTCAGAGTAAATATTGTATACTAATTACAACTGGCTAGCAAGCTAACTAGTTTCCATACAACTTAGAATATCAACGCTAGACTTTCTTTTCTCATTGAGTTTGTGTGGTTAATAATGTCAGTCATACTAGTCCAGTGTACCACAGCATTTCCTGTTGGATTTTATAAATTGAGTCCATTTAAAATTAAGCGGACAATGTGGCATCATGACAGTTGTGATGTAGTGCAGGTGGACATTTCAGAAAGGTAAGAGTACATGGACAACAATATATGTGTTTTTGTTAAAGCCATATAGTTCAGATCATATGTTTATATAATTTTGAGGCAAAAATATCAAACCAAATGTTTTTTGTTTTTTGACATCACCTTGCTTTGGGAAAAAATAACCCTCTATTACTCCGTTTAAATAGAATTGGAAACAATCATGTTTTAATTCAGTATGCATGATGTTCAGTAAACGACCAGTCAAAATCGAAGGATCCAACGTGTTTTTAAACGGAGCAGAAGTCTCCCACTTCAAGTATCTTGGAGTCATATTGGACTCGAACTTGACTTTTAAGAACCATATTAAGAAAGTATCCAATACCATTAACTTCAACTTGCAAAATGTTAAACAAATTAGACCCTTCTTAACTGTCAATGCTGCAAAGTCATACCTCCACTGCATGATTCAATCCCACATTGAACACTGTTTTACAAACTGGTCGTTTGCTTGTGCCACAAACCTGAAACCAATAGAACAGCTGTACAAAAGAGCTATCAAGGTGTTTGACAGAAAGCCAAATTCATACCACCACTGTACCATCCTTGAAAAACACCATTGACCATTTAAAGTCTTTTAAACCCCCCCCCCCACCCAGGGGAATTCATCCACAAGAAACACACTGGACGCTGCACTAGGTTAGAAACCAGAGGAGACTGTGAAGTCCACCGCAGACTGACCACTTTTGGACAAAATGTCCTCTCCATTAAAGGCAGCTCTTTGTGGAATAGCCTCCCAACTGAGACACGGGATCCCACTCTCAAGTTTCAAAGGTCAACTCAAAGAATGGTTGAGAAACAACCAGACGTGCGATCACCGCTAAATGCACTTTAACACAGAGGTATCTCCTCTTGCTCTTTAGGTATCTCTTGTATCTTCTCTTGCACTTTATATGTCGTTGCTGTTATATTGTATTACCATGTCATAAATACTTGTGTGTGCTGCTCTTGCTCTTTTGCTTATCATGTATTTTGTTTTTGCTATGTTTGTAAAATGTGAACTTGTTAAATGTTTTATGTGAGGGACTGCGGATGGAAATTAGCTCAAAGCTAAATCTGGCACTGTTACGCTTGACACATATTAATGTTTTAAGTGTTCATTAATGTGCATTGTCCCAGGTAAATAAACGATTCAAATAAAGACGAAAATAGCATAAAAGTAAATGAATAGGCTTGAAACAGTTATTAAGTAGACTAGATGAAACAAGGGTCTGCACTTCTCTGTGCACACAAAAAGGAAAGGACTTGCATCCCTTCTCATCTCTTTGCCCAAGTAATTAGACTTTTAAGTTCAAAGCAAATTATTGTACCCTCATTTGTGTTGAGTGTAAACTTCTGAAAGCACTTTCAAAGAAGAAGTTTCTCTCATTTCCAGCCCTCTGAAAGAAAACGAGCCAGACAGAGACACATTTCTCTGTGGCAAAAGAAGTGACCCATATAATATTAAACTCTCAGGAGAGTTACAGAGGAGTGTCTCCTTGCATTAGACCACAAGTCCTCAGATCCTTTTCTTACAGAAAGTGTCTGATTGATGGTTTCAGATAGAGGGGAAGACATGAAAATGACTGCTTCTTGCCCTGTCATTATCCAGTTACATTTCTAATGTGCATCTCCCGTATTTAATGTGGTATCGCTGACAATCTAATACCTGTTCATGAGAGACCTTTTTGATGGTATAAGCAGCTTAATTACCACTTTAAAACTTTAAAAGCATTGAAGATATGTATGTGTTTATGTATATATGTATGTCCACACATACAGAGGACGGTGGAGGGGGAGGAACATGAAAATTCAAGAGCTTTAGAAACCGAGAAAAACTGAAAACAAGAGCTACAATACTTGGCATCATGGTCGAACCAAAACAAGATAAAAGGAACCTGTGTTTTTAAGGCCGTCTGTTTAGGTCTCCTCTGCGTCGATACATATTTCATCGGGCCTCAACACAGCGAGGCAGGAGCATATTCTATCACAAAGGCCTCTGAACACAGTCCCACGTGGACGCTGGACAACACAAAGCAGCTCAATTGTCTCGACTCTGGGGTTGGGGTAACAAGTCCAGGCTCCAGCATTAGTGCCCTTAGGTTAAAAAAGAAGCTACAGAGGGAGTGAGAAGACCCTCAATTGTCTCTCCAAGGAGAGGAAGGCTTATGGAGGGGTAGAAAAAAACCTAAGAGTGATTTTATCAAAGAGATGATAATACAAAGGACAAGTTCGGCAGACAAGCCCTCACATATTTATATGCAATCACTTGCTGCATCATGTCCAAACCACTGGAAATGTATAAACTCAGATTGTGAGCCCTTTTTTAAATACATTATGAAACAATCACTGAGTTATCAATGTGTGAAATGGTAGATGTTTTGATGACAAGTTGTTATAATGCACTAGGAGAGACTGTCCTCCCAACGAGACCCAATGTTTGTGGAAAGTTGGAGAATTAAAATACAAAAAACCTGGCAGCTCCCGGAGGACACACAGGTTCACACTGGGGTCTTCCTCCTTCTTGATTTCTCTGTACACTTCATTCAAAAGGTTTTCTATGTCCCTGTGTTTGTGCAGAAAACTCGATGTATGAATGCAGTTCCTGAGAGATAGCCAGAGGTCGGTGAGGCCCTCAAAGGGACTTTAGCAGTGTGGACCCTGAAGAGCCAATAAGGCACACTATGCAGGGACTATTTAACATGTTGTGTTTGCTCGCTATAGTGGTGTCTTTGTTTTATGAACAGAAGTTCACCTGCATCCTGTTTTGTATTTGAATGTTTTGTATTGTACATATAACCTTTTATTCATGTATCTTTTCTTTTAATGTTTATTTTATTATCTTTTCTTTTTAATGACTGTTTTTAAATGCCATTTTCTTAATGTCTTTCATTTTTGTAAAGCGCTTTGGGTTACCTTTTGTTGAAAGGTGCTATAAATAAACTAGCCTTGTAGTTAAAATGTGTCTTTTCAAAGATTCCTCAAAGGTTTCTGAGACTGAGGGTGTTTCTCAATGTCGAGGAAGGATGCTCCAGAGCCACTATTTCAAGGATACTACGTCATCGAGTCCCGCCGAAGGACTGTTCCAATGTCTAGTATACTTGGAATTCTACCGAGCCCGGCGTACTTCGTTGCGGGAAATTTCGAGGCTGCACATGTGTAGACTCCGCGGTCTTAAATCCCCACAATGCTTTGCGCACGGACCAATTTCCAAATCTTTGGCGGAAATCGCGCTCCATTTAAGGCGGGGCCTCGCATATGACGCACACCTGTTAGCCTGTTCCACCATTCTTCGTTTTCCGAGGCTCGGAAGGATTCTTGACTCACTTCTGAAGCAACAGGGTGTTTCTCAATGGCGAGTACGCTTGCTTGGTAGCACATGTCTTCCGAGTCACTTGCTTCAGAAGCGAGGCAAGAATACTTCCTAGCATTCGGAAAACGAAGAGTGGAACAGGCGAGCAAGTGTGCGTCATATGAGAGGCCCCGCCTTACATTTTCCGCCACCGATTTTGGGAAATTGGTCCGTCCGCAAAGCATTGTGGGGATTTTAAGACCGCGGAGTCTACACATGTGCAGCCTCGAAATGTCTCGCTACGAAGTACGTCAGGCTCGGTAGAATTCCAAGTATGCTGGACATTGGAACAGTCCTTCGGCGGCACTCGATTACCTAGTATGCTTGAGATAGTGGCTCTGGAGCAGCCTTCCTCGACATTGAGAAACACCCACTGACTTGGAGGGACATGTGCTACCAAGCAAGCCTCCTCGACATTGAGAAACACCCAGAGTTTCATCTTCTCAAAGTCCACTAGGTGTGCATGTCAACTAAAACTTCCAATGAGTGATTTTTGGACATTTGGGGGTAAGAGGTTATAAATACAAAACCGACACATTGAGAAACATTATTTTTTGTTTCTGGCCACCTGGCGAATATACGTCCACATTGTATTTTCTTCTTCGCTCTGATTTTGGTCTCCACCAAGGAAAATCGGTTTATTTAGTTCACAAGCTAGTCTGAGTTCAGACTTTTTCTGTATTCTGATATTAATTAACTAAAAAAGGAAATGTGAAGTGGCCCTGTATTCCTTCTCAATTGTTCTGTCAGCAAACTCTTCAATATGTTATCTGGGTGTTCTTGCAAGTTCCATACATTCTCAGTAATGTTGTTATGGAGGAACTTTATATACACTTTTTAATAAAGAAGCAGCTTTGTGACAGTAATTCACTAGAATAACACTGCATATTGCCTTTATTCCATGCATGGTATACAACAATGGTATTTATTGTTAAATAAAAAAGTATTTATTTATTAAAATCCAAGACCATTTGTATAGATTCATTCTCCAGTGGTGGATAAAATATTTGACTCAATGACATGAAAAGTTTAATAGAACAACTCAACATGCCACACAATGCGCTTTGACAAACAGTACATTGTTCATCAGGTGAAAAAGATCAAGTTGCCAAATCTGAAACAAACATTTTAAATAATAATAATAATAGTGAATAAAGGACTTCAAACATCAAACTGAAAAGAAGTTATTCCAACTGTAATAATTTAGGCTTCTGATTGAAAACACAAAACAGATAATATTTTCTTTCAGACAATAAAGAACATTTCTGCAGACAGAAATCTCGGTACTCCAGATGCTTCCGATCATTTGGAGGCTTTTCACCGTGCGATCCACTTGACAAATCTCTTTCTCTGTTCCTCAGATAGCCAACATGCTTCGGAGACAATATATTGAGACATTGCACGAATAAATTGCACAGTGGCAGAATATAAAGCGTTTCATCCTTTCATTTGTCAAATTGTACAAAATGCTTTCTGATATACATTTCCCAGTGGAACAAAATAAACGGTACACATTCATAGCATTTAATACGGTCCCTTGGTTGCACTGGGCAATGCATGTATGTACATTTCCTTCTGGATTCATGCAAGCTGACACAATCTTTTTACATTTTTGCATGATTTCCGGACACAAAAGCACATTCTCAGTGACGAACCGAAGCTCTGTTTTGGGAATGGATGCTTTGCTCATGAGTGACGCTGCTCGTTAGTCCTCTCCTCTCATGAAACGGTGAACGTACACCATCTTTTCGCAGGAGTTGAGCTCTGCCCTCTGTTTCCTGAGCAGCGCGTCACACAAAGCTCTCCTCCATGTTGGAGCACAGCAGGAAAGAGTCCACGAGCCGCGGTTTGATCAGCTGCTGGTGGTCCGCCGCCTCGATGCTGTCTGGACACCCCGCTGCCAGCCTCCTCAAGGCAGCCTGACACACACACACACACACACACACACACACACACACACACACACACACACACACACACACACACACATCAGTATGTATGAGTAAAACCAGCAAAACACATAATGCATGATAATATTCGTCCAATAATTATATATATACATACCCATATGTATACTGTTCATACTGTATATACTTTAGCTTGTTATATGTTAATACCTATATCCTTCTATAGATTGCATTGCACCGTACTGTCGGTTTTGGTAAGACACTAACTGGTCTCAGCATTTGTATTTGGTGCAATGACAATAAAGTTAAATTGTATCTAAGGTAATTTAATAATGATGGCAAACACACATCAGTATGTATGAGTAAAACACATAATGCATGATAATATTGAGCCGATAATTATATATCTTTATATTTATATTGTTCATACCCATATGTACTGTTCATACTGTATATACTTGTTTATATGTTAATACCTATATTCTAGTTTACATTGCACTGCACTGTCTGTTTTGGTAAGACACTAGCTGCTCTCAGCATTTGTGCTTTTTGCAATGACAATAAAGTTGAATCAGAATCAGAAGGATACAGAATTGTATTGAATGTAATCTAATAATGATGGTACTGTGGTATGCAAACAGTAACATTACCATATGTTATTGTTTTTATTTGTATTCATACCGTTACTTTTGAGTTTTCCCTTATTTGAATGCTTATAAATCTTGTGTACTTTTTTCTTATCTAGTCTCATTTCATCTGATTTATCCTGTGTTATCATATTGTACTGTATCCTATCTTATCCTATTGCAAACCCCTACAAACCCCTTATGTGTCTGAGTCCCAGTCAAAATCTCCAAACGTATTTATACTGCACTAAATCCAGTTCTAAGAAACCTATTCCAATAATCCACCATGTCCTTTTTTCAAACACTCCTCATGTGTTTTCAGGAGAACATGTGTGTGACGTCTCCGGCCAATCCACCCAGCAGAGGCTCCAACATTTACATGTATGATTACAAAAGTGTGAAAGCTCAGCAAACCTTCGAAGGTACAAATTCAACACCTACAATTGCTCTACTTGACCCCTCGGCTAAAAGGGATAAAATAGAATCGCATTAATTTGAATGGACGAGCGAGAGTACAGTGAGGAGGAGAGCGAGGCAGCCCAATTAAGACCCTGACCATTATGGGCTTCAAATCCCCTCATCTGGTCGTAATAATCATGATCAGAATGAGAGAGTGATAAGAGGCGAGCAGGGCTTTTATTCATGATATGTACATATTTAAAACATACAAGGTTTGAGATGATGTGGACCCGTCAGCTATCTCCACATGGCTTAAAGATAAGGAGGGTGTGATATATTTTCAATTTTCACACATTGCCCTGTGGATGTAATTAAATTGGACAGTCATTTGGTGCTCTGATGTTAAACACATGCAGGCCCGCGGTATAATGCCCTCAGTTTGTACTATTTAATGTAAGTACCTATATGGTACTTACATTAAATACAAGTACAGCAAGTACAGCTAGAAATGTATAGTATTTGACTGAAATGGGCTGTTTGAATTAGATATTTGCATTCATGACAGGGAGTCGTTCAAACATATCTAAGGCTACACACACACACACTTTGTACCTACCAGGCAAGCGACCAGCACTGAGTCGCTGTTATTTCTCTCAGTGGGGGAGCGACACAGTTCAATGAGACGAGGAACAGCTACAGACAGCGGAGGGAAACAAAGAAACGTTACAAATGTTCCCTTTTGGTATCAAATATAGAGGTGAACAGAGACAGCAATCGCTTAAACATTCAGAGTAGAAACACTTTTGTTTTTCAGATGTTGATAAAAATGTAAGAAGATTAAGACATCAATAAACGTTTAATAAGGATAAATGTAATACTTGTTCACTAAGTCCCTCAAGAATTATGACAAATAGGATCCAACTACAATGCAGTGAACAATACACTTTTGTGTCATGGAGTTGTTAAATTGGCATTACCCTTTTTCACCTACGATACGATAACACTTTATTGACAGAGCAGCTACATTTGCAACAACAGGGAAAATTGCTGATTTAATCACTTATTAAATGCTGTTTGAGAAACTAGTGTTTTTGACGAATGCATGTACGAGGAACAGGGAATCCGAAAACTGAGTAAAATGTTGATAATGAGAGGTTACAGGGGGCCGTTTCACCTGCAGCAAATCTATATCAAAAGCCCTATTTGCATTCTCTCACACAACAGATCATTCTTCATTCATCCAGTCGTATGCTCAATATTCCCGAACCACTCTTTAACCAAATGTTTTTATCAAAATTACAAAGTTTCAACCCTTCCAACTACTACTGTGTCACAAGTCTGAAATATAGTCAATTTGCGGGGTCTCGTTCCACCGTTTAGTCACACAGAAGATAAGGAAGACATCGTTTTGTTGAATCATTTTGAATCACATAAGGCATGGATTGTGTTTTAAGAATTTCACCATAAAAAGGAAAACTGATTCAAGGCTTTTTAACTTTTTGCCAGCCGGGTTTATTGGGACTTTATTCGTTTTCGAAGTGTTGTGTTTTACTGATTTTCAGCACTATAGTTGCTTCTCTCAAGAAGAAGAATATAATACTTTATTCTTCTCACAATGGCAAATTGAATTCTAACGTAATGTTTCCTTCACACACACAGGATACAAATGAGGCCCAAAACCCACACATTCTCGACCGAATGCTTTTAGAAGGGAGGAATCCTCAAACGTGTTATTGGGAATCCTAATTTCTGCCCTACCTTTGAGCTGGATGGCTATCTGGGAGACTTCAGGGTCTCTGCTCAGCCGGGCCAGAGTCACAGCTGCTTTCTGCTGAACTCGCTCGCAGGCGGCGCCCTCCGATGGACTGACGGAGGACGGCTTCTCTCCGAGGAGCAGCAGCAGGCGCTCGATTCCTGGGAAGAGACATAAAACATCCTACAGATTAGCACGAAACCAAAGATTCAGAGGGTGGCTTGTAAGGAACAGAGATAAGATAAGACGAGATAAGAATGACTTTATTGATCCCAATTTGGGAAATGCTGGTGTTGCGGCAGCATAAAAAGACATGGCATTGTACAATACAATTAAATAAACAAAAAATAGATACCTCAAACGGCACAGAAAGGAAGAAATATGGTACAGAAGTTACAGTAAAACACACAAAGAAAAGATTATGAAAGAACGAAAAGAGGAAACAGACAGCTTACACTAGGCAGACACAAGCCAACAAACACATCAAATTGAAGCATAAGCAAAAAAAGACTCAGACATAACAAAGTGCTCCGGTGATTTGGAAAAAAGCCCAATTTCACACAACCACTCTCTAAAAGGATTGAAACCAAAAGTGCAGTTAGAAAGCGCTACGAAAAGGATTGAGGTGAGATCAAATCAGCACAGTGAGGGTTACAAGTTATTCTTCATAAGTGCTGAGATTCACAACTTCATTATACAATCATGAACAGTTTTGGCAAGTCATTGTCAAATTACAGAAATATTCTGTAAAGGAAACAATAACAAGCCCTTAGATTAATTTATAAATGTTTATCGACTGAGGGACCAATATATATATTAGAGCAAGAATGTAATTGCTGTTCAATTTAACAGATACTGGCACAATTAAAGTCTTTGCGTGTATTTTATTATTAACATGATTCATTTAATTGGGTTGTATTAAATTGAATATTTTTAACGCGGTAGACTTGCATGCAAACATTTAAATAAAAAAAATACTGAATTGAAGGGATAACAAAATGATTTAAAATTGTAATTTTTTTTAATATGTGCATATGCTCAGCAGGTTGATGTTTTATTAAAGCACTTTCAGGCTTCTTCCCTTATAGGGTCTGAAGCTGCCATCTTGAGGATAAAGGAAGAATTACACAGATGTTTCTTGACCGTGAAACGTCCATTTATGAATTATTATTATTATTATTGCTGTATGTTTAAATAAGAGTAAGAAGGTGTACCTTGGTCTTGCAGGACTTCAGGAGCACACTGCTCCAGAACTGAAAGGTTCGCCAAGATGGTCACCACCTGAGAATAAAACAATCAAGGGTCAAAACATAATTACACCCTTAAAGGTGGGGTTGGTAATTCACTTCAGAAACACTTGTTATATTCCATGGAATGCTCTTAACATCCCGATAGCAATGAATACATTAAATGCTTTGACAATAAATACATACAAATATATCATCTGTGGAAGCCGTGGCGCTGTAAAAGCACGACCAATCATCTGAGCCGGCCCGGCTAAAGTAACTGGATGGCCTACCTGCCTGTCAGCCTTCCATCTGTGCACAAACTTATCTCGTGCCCTCATTGGTCATGTGTGCGTTCGTGTGTGTAGTGCAAGAAATTGTTGGAGGTGACCAACGTGCAACTATTTTTGCACACTTGTATAATGTATATAGTATCCTTCCTATGTATGGAACTTTCTACTGATCATTCCTTTGGGTTTTAACTTGAACTCATATGCAGTGACGTGTTGTCATGCAGCTTTAACCAAACAATTTCCCAACAAGGACTCAGTAAAGTGCATAAATCTGATCTGGTGCTGCACCTGGTCTTTGGAGTAGGGCGTGTCGACCCTCTGCCTGTCCCTGCAGGCCTGCAGCAGGATGTGGATGGCGTTGAGCTGCAGGAGGATCTCACAGGCCATGCTGTCGAAGAACGTGATGTTAGCCAGCGCTGCAGAGGCCAGGAGGAACACCTCACCACAGGAGGCGCTGTCACACAGCTCTGAGAGGGAGAGGCATCACTCGTTAGGGACAGTGGGTGCTTTTAACATGACATAATAACACACATTCAATGAGAGGAAGGCAAGGCATTATTTATATACTGTAGCACTTTTCTGTACGCGACAATTCAAAGTGCTTTACAAAACAAATTAAAAGACTTTTTTAGGAATAAATACATTAAAAACACATTATACAATTTTACAACAGACATTACAAGGCAAAGATAATAAAATAATCAAAATAAACACCACAGGTAAACAATACATGTTTAAAAGGCATACTGCAGTGCGAATATGAGCATCTCAATTAAAAGCAGCGGCAAAGAGATATGTTTTTAGTCTCGATTTAAAAATAGTAAGAGTTTCTGCGGACGTGTTTGTTCCAGAGTGTCGGGGCATAACAGCTAAACGCTGCCTCTCCATGTTTTGTTGATACTCTCGGAACCGATAGCAGACCCGTCCCTGAAGACCTGAGGCACCTTGATGGCTCGTAATTATGCAGGAGTTCAACAATATACTTTGGTCCTAACCCATGTAATGATTTAAAAACTAGCAATAGTAGGCTACTTTAAAATCAATTATTTGGCCGACTGGAAGCCAATGTAGAGATTTCAGAACCGGACTGATGACTGAGGAGATAAAACATGAAGTGCAAAGACCACAATATTTTCTCCAGACTTCTCCAGTTTTTTTTGTTTGGCAACAATATTACTTGTCCTACTTATTTATAGGTTATTACATTTATCTGTCTATCAGGATTTTAAGATTTTTGAGTTTGAAATTAGATAAGGTGCTGTAATGAGGAAGCATACAAGCTGTCCATGTTAAAATGAAATGCATTACAATTATTTTTTTACATGGCATAATATGTATTGCAAAATATCTACTCTGTACATTTATAATTATAAAATAAATTCAGGTAAACTTCTACTTAAAACATTAAAGACCAAACTCTTATATTTTAGAAGGTGGGTCATTCCTAGCATTCGGTGCCATTTAGGTCCCCACCACATTATATCATATATTTTGTATTTAAAAGGTCTAATGCTTATTTTTTAAAAGCTTGGTTTTAAATGTTTATCCCCCTCTACCATAAAACAACAATGTTATTTAGCCAGGATGTCTAAGGATTGTCTGTCCATAGCCCTTATGTGCCTTTTATCTATTCTTATGTGTGCCTTTTATCTATGATTGTAATATATTTTTATTATAATGTTATGTCTGCTGTGAAGCACTTCGGTAAAACCCTGTTTTTAATATGTGCTATATAAATAAAGTGGATTGGATATTCAACATTCTAAATAATTACTCTGATTTTAGCACAAGTAGGCCAAATTGCTGTGTCCCAAATCATGTTTGCTCAACTTCTGTAACAGATATAAAAAAAGAAATCAAAGAAATACACTGTTGCATAACCCTTTTACACTGTGGGAATGTGAAAGTAATTTGTAGACGTTGTATATTGTCACCATTCCTAATAAAAGAGGTCAAAAAACTAATCTGAAAACCTTTAAAAAATATATTTAAAAAACTGCTGTAATTCTACTATTCTCTAACTCACTTTTCGTCCATGTTCCACCCAAATAACAAATCCTGTTTCTGTGAAGAGCCTTTAGTCAAAATAAATGCTGTAAGTCAAAGGTCAAGGGTTACATTAACATCTTTTTGAGATGAATGTACTTGTATGCATCGTCATTGTTCAATAAAGACATATTAATCGGTGCACATCCACTCACTGATGAGCGCGGTGACGATGTCGTGCATGCTCTCCAGGAAGCTGGCGAGGTGTTGTGTGGAGGTGTGGTGGGGGGAGGTGATCTGAGCCACGACCGCCGCCGCCTCCGCCCGCGCTGCCTCCACGCTGCTCTCCTCCGTCAAGATGTCCGCCAGACACAGGATCCCATCCACCTGAACACACACAGACACATCAGAACCACAGAAGCATTCATCATAACCTGTTTTATAAATTCAACATTCAAGGATTCAAGGCTTTTATTGTCATGTGTACATAAGTGTAGTTATGACAATGACAATCTTAGGTCACAGGCTCCTCCAACAGTGCAACACAATAAAACAGATATAGTGTAAATAAAATAAAATAGAATATAGTAGAAATAGTAGTAGTAGTAGTAGTAGTAGTAATAGTAGTAGTAGTGTTAGTAGTAGTAGTAGTAGTAATAGTAGTAGTAGTGTTAGTAGTAGTAGTAGTAGTAGTAGTAGTAGTAGTAGTAGTAGTAGTAGTAGTAGTAGTGTTAGTAGTAGTGGTAGTAGTAGTATTAGTGTTAGTGTTAGTGTTAGTAGTAGTAGTGGTATTGTTGTTCGGTTCGTGGTTCTTCGTCGTCGTCGTCGTCGTCGTCGTCCGTCGTCGTCGTTAGTCGTCTCGTCGTCTGTCGTCTGTCGTCGTCGTCCGTCGTCGTCTGTTCGTCCGTTCGTCGTCGTCCTTCGTCGTCTAGTCGTCGTCGTCGTCGTCGTCGTCGTCCTTCGTCGTCGTCGTCGTCCTTCGTGTTCGTCGTCGTCGTCGTCGTCGTACGTCGTCGTCCGTGCGTCGTCTTCGTGGTCTCGTCGTCGTCGTCGTTCGTCAGTACGTACGTCGATGCGATGTCGTCGTCGTCGTCGTCGTCTCGTCGTTCTTCGTGTTCGTCGTCGTCGTCGTCTGTCGTCGTGCCGTCAGTCGTCGTCGTCGTCGTCGTCGTCGTCTTCGTCGTCGTCGTCGTCGTCGTTCGTGGTCGTCGTCGTCGTCGTCGTCGTTCGTCGCTCGTCGTCGTCGTCGTCGTCGTCGTCGTCCGTCGTCGTCGTCGTCGTCGTTCGTCGTTCGTCGTCGTCCGTAGTCGTCGTCGTCACTCGTTCGTCGTCGTCGTCGTCGTCAGTCGATCGTCGTCGATCGTCGGTCGATCCGTCGTCGTCGTCGTCCCCCTTCAACCGCGTTTCCGCCTTTCGCGCATTTCCGCTCCATCTTCCCCTTACCTTCCTTCTTGTCAATCCATTTACCATACCAAATGTGATCTTTGACCCCAGCAACTAAACAACACTGACTCACCATTCACAGAACAACCCCCCATTTCCACACACACACACACACACACACACACCACACACCCCTTAAGGACTCAAAGCAACTAAAGGCAGTCGTAATAAGTGCTAGTGGATGGTTCTTCCACTGGCCTATGTCCATTAAAATGATCACGGACAGAGCAAGGTACTCATGAGTATTAACAACATATAATTACATTAGTTAACATGTCTTGACTTTAATGCGTCATCCTGCACATTTTGTAGTGTAGTGTTACAATATCAAATGCATGCAAGTATATTTTCCCACAGTAGAGGTTCAGGGTCTCAGTCTGCAGAACTGACTCCCTTCACTCTTCCTCTGAACACTGCAGGATGAGAAACATCTGCAGCTCCACTCAGACAGTAAAGTGTAGGTGGTGTCAGCTCGGCTTAGAACTTGCCGCTCTGCCCGTAAAGCCATCACAATTAAAGCCAGCACTCTGATTTAACGGCCCAGAAACTCTTGTATATCCGGCTGGCAGAGACCCAGCTGTGAGCATCACCAGAGTCAGAGAAGAGCAGGAAGTTTAATCAGGAGCATGATGTCATATCTATCCTATCATTGTGTTTGCTTGTGTGTGTGCATGATTTGGTGGTTAAGGCTTTAGGAAATAATGGAGATGTAGAGCAGATATTCATCCACTGGGTGGCAGTGCTGCATAGTTCATTCAAACTGTACTACAGCTGCTGATTGGATCTCAGCATCTGTTGGAAGTTATTGTTCTCAAGTCTCGGAAGTGTGTAAGTGAAAATCATCCATACTATAAATAAAAATGCATAGTCATAATCTTCAGGATTGTTTTTCCATGTTGCCAACTGTCACTTTTAATTATATCCTGGTGAGAAATCCATGACTGCAACATCAGAAACATGTCATTTCTACCTTTCAATGACCGTCATTCTTGCTTTCATTAAGGTGAGAGTACTTCATGCTTTGCTCAGCCATCACTCCTAAAACTAAAGTTTGGAGAGGATGATCCGGAGTGAGACGCACACCTGTCAGTCTTCTCCTCTGACGAGCATCAGCGCAGAGCTTCACAGGGCAATTCCCTATTTTTGTCTCTCCATGGACGTCAGCAGAACTGTGCCATCCGACCCACTGACGTGGAACAATCCACTTTCCACACCCCCGTTCATCTCCCCCACCTCTCCGTTTCCTCCTCCTCCCTCAAATAGGATATTCCCCAACTCCTCATGCAGCACACCGGATGGATCTCAGTCAGTTTAATCTCTGGGTTGACGCCAAAATAAAACTTTTCTGTATTACGAAGTGTCACAACTCACTCACAGGCAGTTTTTGCTGCATACCCTCTTGTTGAAAATATTTCCGTCAGTGACCACAGGAAATACATTCAATTGTGGTTTTGTTTCAAGGAACAAAAGTGCAGAAGCCAAAAAACTCAAATCAATTTGTTACTTTTTCTATTTAAATAATTGTATAAAGTGTCTTTATATAGTTTTAGGACAATTGAATATCTGGCATTTCACCCAGATAGGCGTGGTTTTGCAAGACATAAAACATAAACTTTGGCAAGCTCCATGACCTTAAGCCAGGGTTCAGATATCATATGCTTGTGCAGAGTGTTCTGATTTAAATGAGAAGTTAGATATAATAGCATGTACGGGCAAGATGTACTGTTCTTTTTGTCAGATATTTTAAGGCCAGACAGTGCCTTTACTGATAGATGCAGTGTTGAAGGGGGGAAACAGAGGGTTCGACATGATGGTTCAGCAAGTCGAAGTCGAACTCGCGTACTGGGCAGCAGATACTGCCTCTGTGCCCCAAGTTTAGTTTCTTAGGCAAACTACATGAGTGATACCGTATATTCCCTTCTTCCTCTGTCTGTATGACTCTCTAGTGTGTGCTTCATTTCATTATTTTATATTATTTAAGTTATAATCAATATTTGAAAACTGTAAGCTAAAGGTCATCTTTTGCAGTGTCGCACAATATAGAGGTTTACCACATCCCAGTAATCCGTCCTCCACACTTCCTGTTGAACCTTTCTTTCTTAATACTTCTTCTTCATTTTTTGTAAAGCACTTTGAATTGCCTTGTGTTGAAAAGTGCTATATAAATAAACTTGCCTTGCCTTGCCTTGCCTTAGCAGCTGCATTCCTCATCAAGACTCTCCAACACCATGCTATGATGTTCCAGTTGGGGATAACACAGAGCTAGTACACAGTGTATCCACCAATGAGCAGTACAGATGATACCGATCACCCTTCAACAATGACAGGTGTGTTTCTCAAGCCTGAGCGCTTGGTGGCGTAGACTCGCCTGACAGCCCTCCCCCCCCCCCCGGGACCAGGACGCTAATCTGGGGCGGACTTTGGTTCCCGTTAAGAAACAAGTGTTCACACTCTGATGGTTCCTGCTGTCCCAGCTGCTGAGCAGAGACACCGCTGTGGCATCATTACTAGCCCGATTCAGGTTATATTTGTCTTTCTGTGAACGCTCGCTTGACACAGGTGCGTCTGTTGTTTATTTTGGATGAATTCTCAAAAGAGAACAAACGAGGACAAACAAAGAAGGATGTATCATTAGCTTTCTGTCTCCCTGCCTTCTTTACACACACACACACACACACACACACACACACACACACACACACACACACACACACACACACACACACACACACACACACACACACACACACACCACACACACACACACACACACACACACACACACACAGTGAGCAGTTTGACCTGTGAGCTCAGCAGTCAGGAGGTCTCCTATAATGATCTCATCTCTGAGCCGCAGACACACAGTAACTCATGACTCATCTCTCAGTGAGTGTACTGTATCATTCTGTCATCAGAAAGAGAAACCAGCGGTAAACAGCATGATGCCTATTTTCTCACTGTCTCCGATCCTAAAATTATACAGCGATCGTTAAATGGCGCTCCCCCGCCCTGAGGTAAGTGAACCCGCTAAACTCATTCATGAAAATGTAATCACGTTAATAGAAAACCGGAGAACCCGACTGCTGCAGACTAAAGTTTCCCCCAAGAAAAAGTAACATTACAGGAATATAAGTAACACAGAGGCTGCACTGATGCCTCCTACACAATACACAGCCACAAGAAACATCAATTATTTATTGTGAGGGATAAACAGAGGACTGGCACGCCCTGTCTGTATAAGCTGCCTCTTCTGATTGAGTCTAATGGTAGCAGTGAGTCAAATCCAGTGATAGAAGAAGTATTCAGAACTTTAAGTTAAGTAGAAGTACCAATACCGGATTGTCAATTAAAAGTCCTGCATTTGAAATCATACTTTAGTAAAATAATGTGTTATGGCCCATTTCATAAATATGATAATTTGATGTTAAATGACTGGATTATGATGAGTGATGCATTCATGTGTTCATAGGGTTAGGGTTATCATTGATAGGTCATCAGAAACAAAGCCATTGTACATTGAATCCAATGCAGAACTAGTTTGGATTATCTTTAAAAGGCCAACCCAATACCTGAAAGACTTTATTGAACTTCCCAGAAAAGAACCCCTTTGTTTAAGTGTGTGATCTTTGATTTCTCGCTCACCGTGTTTCTCCTCTCTTCTGCTGCTATTGTTGGCACATGATCACCTGTGAAAATAAACTAGCCTTGCAGTATTTGCATGAGACGTGAGAGCACGGCTGAAAATCTGAATGAGTACAACAGTAGTGAGACTGTTCTTCAGCTGATCGGTGTGAACGTCTGGACTGCAGGGAGGCAAAGTACTTTACTGGAAGTACTGTCATTACCTTAGATTACTGTCAATGAAGCATGAGAGTATTTTCCAGCACATTAAAATCTGGATCGGTGTGTACGGCAACCCTTTGAGGCCAATGAGGAGAAAAAGT